TTGTTTATATTTTATTTTTTTATATTGTTCTAATATTCATTTAATAAAACTTGTAAGAGTTTTATTCTTGTAAATTTTCACACTACAAACATCAGATTTAAGGTAAACAAAAATCAGCCTCAAATATCAGTTATCAGTGTCCTTCATTACTAGTGATCAGTATCACTATCTAGAAAGACACCCATCGATTGACCCCTAGTCTGATTTTTTTATCTTTCCCATCAAAAACCTGTCAGTACAAAACTGTGTACATATCCAGGGCCTGCTCAAAAAAAAAACAAAAAAAAAAAACAACAACTATATCTCTCCAGGCCACCTTAAAATCTGCATTGAACCAAGGGATAATCAAATAAAGCTGAATCAGCCAAAATTATAAATTTTGGTAATGCAAGGCCGCCATCAGGGGACTTTGTAAGCTTTTAAGTCTAATCCTTCGTCTTTTCTTATTCCAAATAAATGCTGAAACTATGGACTTTAAACAGGTTATTATGGGGAGATTGTGGGATCATGGAGAACAGAAAGGAGAGTCTTGGGAGCTTATTCATTTTGACCCTTGAGATTCTGCCCTGAAGGAAGAGTTGTAAATCACCCCATCTCCGTAAATCCTGGGTGATTTTATTGATTAATGCAGAGTATTTTTAACAATACCATGTAGTGAAGGAAAAATCCAGATACGTTAGCTCAAAACCAACAGGAGTAGGGAGGACTAGAGGCTAAATCTGCTAGCACCTGTCAGAGGCATTGAGATTTTGACCAATTAATTTTATATCCACTTACACATCTAAAATCTTCAAACAGTTTAAGGCATTGATGGACAGAGACTGCTAGGTTGGTCAAACAGAACAGAATATCATCTGCATAAAGCCAGATGTATCATCGTGAAGCCTAATAGCAGAAATCATTTGATCCTGTTTTATGGCTTGAGCTAAAGGTTCTAAGAACAGAGGGAGTAAAGCAGATGAGAGAACACATCTATGTCTTGTGCCTCTGCTCAACTTGAACGGGTCAGATCTACAAACTCCTGTCAGGGAGGCAGCGGGGTTGGTATACAGGAGTGGTATCATACGGATAAAACATGGACCAAATCCAAATCACTCCATGACCAGCCAAAGATATTTCCATCCTACACGATCAAATGCCTTCTTCATGTCTAACGATAAGATGGCACGAGAATCCTTCGCAGACTTAGAATGATGTCCCTCAATGATATGGAAAAGACAACAAATGTTATCTGAGGCAAAACACCCCTTGAGAAAACCTGTTTGATAATAACTAATTAAATCTCCCACCACCTTAACGAGACGCCGAGACAGTACCTTGGAATATAGCTTTGCTTCTGTAGAGAGCAACAAAATTGGTCTATAACTTCAGATGACCCCTCCTTTTTCAAAATAAGTGAGATAAGAGCAGTGTTCAGGTCCCTAGGAAGACTGTTAGTTTCAGTGGCATATTTTAAAGAATTAAGAATTAAGGGTCCTCTTTGGTCATACTGACATTTGAAGTTCCGGGGGCAGGCCATCCAATACGGGAGCCTTACCCTTACACACTGACTCTAATGCAGTTCTCAAATCATTGAGTGTAAAAGAAAGCTCAAGAGAAAAACGCTGTTCCTCACATAAATGTGGAATTAAATTTAAAGTTTTCTAAGATCTGTTTACCCAAGGGATGTTGTAAGAGAGGTGAAAAAGCAGGATTGCATTTGTTGGGGTCATAAATTGAAGTAAAAACTAGCTTCACATTATTCCACATCCCTACTACATACACAACATGCCCTTCATTTCCAGTTTTCTACGCCATGGAGGAAAATTTAATATTTTGAAGTAGAACGACTCCTTTAGTCTTGTTAGTAGAGGAGGAATATGCTATAAGCTTAACATACTTATTCTGGCAGCAGGTAACATCCTGCCCTTAAATGGGATTCTTGTAAAAGTACATCAGCCCTTTTACGTGGAGGATAATCTAGACACTGAACCCTTTTCACAGGGGGGTTCAAGCCATTTACAGTACAAGAAATCACATCAAAATCCATGTGGGAGCAGGAACCAAAGGTCACACTCTAAGAAGAACAGGCAAAACAGTCAAAGAAAGCTTCCATCCAGACAATTGAAGAACGTAAAATAGCAAAAACCCTGGTAGTGCGAAATAAACCCTTGACAAACAAATAAACCCTCTAACTGACATTGCCTGCGGAGAGATTCCCGCCTGGAAAACAAAAAAAATGCAGAGCCATGCACTGAAACAGCAAGGCTGCTCAATCCTTCCCCAATCCAAGTGCCTTCCAATTTTACAAGTTTCATCCTCAAAACCAAGAGGCAATAAAAGACAAGCCTAGGTTCAGCCCTAACTAGACAAACTGCGTCATTTACTCTCCATAACCCTGGTTAGACGAGGCAACTTCCATCCGTGAGTTACCCTTGAGTGAAGCAACATAGTTCTCCAGGAGCGTGGGCGTCTTAAACAGCAGATGATCTTGGCCATGCAACATTTTGACTGTGGCGGGGTCCAGTAGAAAAGACTTGATTCCAAAATGAGTGAGATGTTCCCCTCTTCCGACATCGCTTTCCTTTTTTGTACTGTAGATTTGCTACAGTCAGGGAAGAACTGGAACACACCCGAACTGTCCTCATCCGAATGACAAGGAGCGACAGCACTAACCCCTTTCAGAATTGCCTGCCCTTGAAAAGAAGAAACTTGAAGATCAAGGTACGAGGCCTGTTTCTGGATGGGCCGTCACCACCACAGATACGAGGTGCCGTTAACATTAAAGTGTAAACAACAAATCTTTTCCTCACATAGTTCTTTACACGTAATGTGCTCTGCTATGTGCAGGTGTGGTTAATGTGATTTCTGTATTTAATATAAGCAAAACATTACTGTTTCCCTTTATTGTCACAACTTCTAAATCTGATTTTATGAGTCTCCTTAAAGTCATGCAACATTCATGAGCCTAACTGTCCCAGTTACAGTCAGAGCTTTTACTCTCCAACAAGGAGCTAGAATCTACATTTCTTTAATGTACATATAATCTGCATAAAGTTATTCCTGCTTGGTCTTAGTCTGACAGATTCCTCTCACCTCCACCACCATCTCTCCCTCATCTCATTTTATGTCTGTTTGGCTCTTTTAGTTTTATTCTGCTAGTTTATCTTACTGTCTTCTGAAAGACTTAGTTCTCTTAAAACTAAGTCTTAGTTAAGCTTGTAGTCTGCTTATGCAGATTGTTTGATCTGTTCAGATGAATCTTATTTTTCTATTTTGTTGTTAGTCTTTACCACCTTTTCCTCAAAACATGTATTCTATTTGTTGTTTCTGCTCTCGTGCTCCTGTAACACTCTCACTAGTCTTTAGATTTCATCTGTAACAATCTGGTCTTCTCTTTATGTTTTCTGCATTTTACCATCACAGACATGTTTATGTTAGCCAGCCTCATATAAAATTACCCAACAATACATATCCTGTAGTAAAAACAGGCAGAGTTTGTGTGTGTGTGTGTGTGTGTGTGTGTGTGTGTGTGTGTGAGACTTGGCTGGAACAGGATTTACAGTGTATGAAAGTGAGATAATACGAGTATATAAGCCTTCATAAAAGAGCTTCAAGAGCTGTTTCCAAAGGGCTCCTACAGTGGTGTACACAGAAATCAACCCAGCATGGAACAAGAGGAGCAGAAGAAGTGAACAGCCTTCAATGTTAAGACTTCCTCTAAGTTTGGCTCTGGTTTCTGTTCAAACCACGAGATACACTGATCAGGCATACCACTGTGTCTGATCCACTCGCACCAGCACAACACACACTAACACACCACCACGTCAGGGTTACTGCAGTGCTGAGAATGATCCACCCCCCAAATAGTACCTGCTCTGTGAGGGTCCATGGGGGTCCTGACAACTGAAGAACAGGGTAAAAGGGGCTAACAAAGTATCAGAGAAACAGATGGACTACAGTCTGTAACTGTAGAACTACAAAGTGCACCTATATAGTAAGTGGAGCTGATAAAATGGACAATGAGTGTAGAAACAAGGAGGAGGTCATAATGTTATACCTGATCGGTGCATGGTGTCAGATGTTCAGCTGTAACTGTGTACGTGTGTATTTGGGTGTATATTGAATTCTTCCTCTTATGTGACTGGAAATACAACAAATATTATGCTGGTCTGAACAATGAAGTCATTAAGGTGTATAACAGAACATGAAAGAAACATATTTATGAGAAAAGCAGTAAATCAGTCAGATTTAACTGGAACACAATCAGAGGGCCAACAGTGGTATTTTCTGAAGGTGCAGGAGTACCAATCTAAAAATGTGAAAAACACAAGAGTCCTATTCTGAGTCGACAACGTCATTAAACTGGTCACACTTTAATTCAGCCAAACTGTGTTGTTTCATCAGAAAACAGATGTTAGAAATTACATTTTGTGAAAGGACACATTTGTTTTATTATTTACTTGCTTAAAAATGTGTTCTATTTAAAATCAATCAGCCAAAATGACTACCTATCTGTAATGACCCAGGAGCATTTCATTCCATAATAACAGCACAAAGTGAGAATCAAATTTATGAAATAAAAAATGACCAAGAATGGCGGTCAGGTTTTGAATGAGCTCGTGCTGAAAATGGCTAGGTAGGTTGTGAAAATGACAATAATGACACAGACCTGTTATTGATCGGCTCTGAGTTTTAATAATATTAATGTATTTCATAAATGATTTGTTCATTTGGACAGATTCATATATTTATTATGTATTATGTTACATATTACTATGTTATATATGTTAAATACTAGCCACAAAATGTAGAATATAGACTAAAATTCACATGCTGTTACATTACCAGACAAGGACATCATCTATTAGAAAAAAATGTGATTTATTTTCAAATAGACGATGATGACTGACAGAGAGAATGAGAGAGAGAGGTGTGTGTGGGGGGGGTGCATGTGTGACAGAGACAGAGACAGAGAGACAGTGATAGTGTCTGAGTGTGTAGTGAGGGAGTGATCTTACCTCAGTTTCTCCAGTTTACAGTTTGGACTCTTCAGTCCCTCACAGAGCTTCTCCACTCCTGAATCCTGCAGTTCATTCTCACTCAGGTCCAGTTCTGTTAGTTTTGAGTTCTCTGAGCTGAGAGCTGAGGCCAGAACTGCACAGCTTTTGTCTGTGAGACCTTTACCACGCAGCCTGGAAGAGAAATGACGATACATCAGAACACTTCAATCTCTCTCACGCACACAAACATTAAAACGTTAATCTTTATCAACATGTTCTCTTAAAACACAGCAGGTTAAAATGTCAACTACTGCACAAATGAAACTACAAAACAGCATTAAGGCCACAAACATAACTGCTGTATTTATAGTTGTAGAACATACAAGATCGTGACATATTGAGAACTTGACCAAAGTGATATTTTCTAAATGGGTACTGTTATAGTTATACTGACTTTTTAATTTCATTTTTATTTTTTGTTTATTTGTTGCATTAATTAGTTTAGAATTTATGTATTTGTATGTTTATTTTCAATCTGAAAGTCCTGAAGAAATGTAAGAAAGGCACAAAGGGAACACTTTGTTTATCACAATTCACTGAAGCAGTGAAGTTCTGCCATCAGGGGGTAAACATTTGGATATGTAGGGTGGGAAACTGCATTTAACATGAAAAGACGTTCACATCAACTCCTAAAATATTCTGTCTGTCTCTATAATCAGGATTTAAATTATTAAAAAATGAAGTTCTGATTAGGGATGAATCAATACCAATACTGGAATTGGATATTGGGCTGATACCATGCCCATTTACTCATACTCATAAAAATTCACAGATACAACATTCCGATACCTGCTGATACCACGTGACGTAAGCCAAGTGTACGCTGCCACTAATAAACAAACGAGTTAAGCTGGCAGTGAAAGAGAATCTGCTCTCAGAGAGTCATTCCCAATACACTATCTATCTGTAAAGACACCATGCAGCACTATACCAATGTAAAATATGCTAATTAAGTGTCAATTTAAGTGAGAAGTACAATATCTACAGTATAGTTTTACTGACAAACAGTGCAGTATTGATAAAGTTATTGCAGATCTGTGTGTCATTTTCAAGCTGAGAGTTGTCAGTAAGTAAGAGAGCTTACAGAACTCTTTTAACTCTATCAAAAAGAGCGTCACCAGCGATTCAGTCTGATAATTTGGTGATGGCCATGTTAACTCATTGAACATCTGCGGCTAAAGGAGTTTGAGAGAGTGCATTTGCACATTGGCCACAGAAAGCTGTTTTTTCTGTGGCCAATGTGCAAATGCACTCTCTCAAACTCCTTTAGCCGCAGATGTTCAATGAGTTAACGTGGCCATCACCAAATTATCAGACTGAGTATGCTGTGATTCTGTCACTGTATAAAAAATGCTTCCTTTATTGTTCACTACATTTATTTTCAGTGTGAGCAGACAAACTTATTAAGAGTGATTTTCGGATCAGTAAGCCCTTATTATTGATTGGTTGCATATGTTCTCGCAGGTCTGTGCTGATGAGAGGTAATGTTGATGTTGGTCTGTGCTGATGAGAGGTAATGTTGATGTTGGTCTGTGCTGATGAGGAGTAATGTTCATGTTGGTCTGTGCTGATGGGGAGTAATGTTCATGTTGGTCTGTGCTGATGGAGAGTAATGTTCATGTTGGTCTGTGCTGATGAGGAGTAATGTTCATGTTGGTCTGTGCTGATGAGGAGTAATGTTCATGTTGGTCTGTGCTGATGAGGAGTAATGTTCATGTTGGTCTGTGCTGATGAAGAGAAATGTTCATGTAGGTCTGTGCTGATGGGGAGTAAGGTTCATGTTGGTCTGTGCTGATGGGGAGTAATGTTCATGTTGGTCTGCGCTGATGGGGAGTAATGTTCATGTTGGTCTGTGCTGATGGAGAGTAATGTTCATGTTGGTCTGTGCTGATGAGGAGTAATGTTCATGTTGGTCTGTGCTGATGAGGAGTAATGTTCATGTTGGTCTGTGCTGATGAAGAGAAATGTTCATGTTGGTCTGTGCTGACGGGGAGTAATGTTGATGCTGGTCTGTGCTGATTGGGAGTAATGTTCATGTTGGTCTGTGCTGACGGGGAGTAATGTTGATGTTGGTCTGTGCTGACGGGGAGTAATGTTGATGCTGGTCTGTGCTGATGGGGAGTAATGTTGATGTTGGTCTGTGCTGATGGGGAGTAATGTTGATGTTGGTCTGTGCTGATGGGGAGTAATGTTCACGTTTTTCTGTGCTGATGGGGAGTAATGTTCATGTTGGTCTGTGCTGATGGGGAGTAATGTTCATGCTGGTCTGTGCTGATGGGGAGTAATGTTCATGTTGGTCTGTGCTGATGAAGAGAAATGTTGATGTTGGTCTGTGCTGATGGGGAGTAATGTTGATGTTGGTCTGTGCTGATAGGGAGTAATGTTCATGTTGGTCTGTGCTGATGGGGAGTAATGTTCATGTTGGTCTGTGCTGATGGGGAGTAATGTTCATGTTGGTCTGTGCTGATGAAAAGAAATGTTGATGTTGGTCTGTGCTGATGGGGAGTAATGTTCATGTAGGTCTGTGCTGATGAAGAGAAATGTTCATGTTGGTCTGTGCTGATGAGGAGTAATGTTCATGTTGGTCTGTGCTGATGAGGAGTAATGTTCATGTTGGTCTGTGCTGACGGGGAGTAATGTTGATGTTGGTCTGTGCTGACGGGGAGTAATGTTGATGTTGGTCTGTGCTGATGGGGAGTAATGTTGATGTTGGTCTGTGCTGATGGGGAGTAATGTTCATGTTTTTCTGTGCTGATGGGGAGTAATGTTCATGTTGGTCTGTGCTGATGAAGAGAAATGTTGATGTTGGTCTGTGCTGATGGGGAGTAATGTTCATGTTGGTCTGTGCTGATAGGGAGTAATGTTCATGTTGGTCTGTGCTGATGGGGAGTAATGTTCATGTTGGTCTGTGCTGATGGGGAGTAATGTTCATGTTGGTCTGTGCTGATGGGGAGTAATGTTCATGTTGGTCTGTGCTGATGAAAAGAAATGTTGATGTTGGTCTGTGCTGATGGGGAGTAATGTTCATGTAGGTCTGTGCTGATGAAGAGAAATGTTCATGTTGGTCTGTGCTGATGAGGAGTAATGTTCATGTTGGTCTGTGCTGATGAGGAGTAATGTTCATGTTGGTCTGTGCTGATGGGGAGTAATGTTGATGTTGGTCTGTGCTGACGGGGAGTAATGTTGATGTTGGTCTGTGCTGATGGGGAGTAATGTTCATGTTGGTCTGTGCTGATGGGGAGTAATGTTGATGTTGGTCTGTGCTGATGGGGAGTAATGTTCATGTTTTTCTGTGCTGATGGGGAGTAATGTTCATGTTGGTCTGTGCTGATGAAGAGAAATGTTGATGTTGGTCTGTGCTGATGGGGAGTAATGTTCATGTTGGTCTGTGCTGATGAGGAGTAATGTTCATGTGGTCTGTGCTGATGGGGAGTAATGTTCATGTTGGTCTGTGCTGATGGGGAGTAATGTTCATGTTGGTCTGTGCTGATGAGGAGTAATGTTCATGTTGGTCTGTGCTGATGAGGAGGAATGTTCATGTTGGTCTGTGCTGATGGGGAGTAATGTTGATGTTGGTCTGTGCTGATGGGGAGTAATGTTCATGTTGGTCTGTGCTGATGAGGAGTAATGTTCATGTTGGTCTGTGCTGATAGGGAGTAATGTTCATGTTTGTCTGTGCTGATGAGGAGTAATGTTCATGTTGGTCTGTGCTGATGAAGAGAAATGTTCATGTTTGTCTGTGCTGATGAGGAGTAATGTTGATGTTGGTCTGTGCTGATGAAGAGAAATGTTCATGTTTGTCTGTGCTGATGAGGAGTAATGTTCATGTTGGTCTGTGCTGATGAAGAGAAATGTTCATGTTTGTCTGTGCTGATGAGGAGTAATGTTCATGTTTTTCTGTGCTGATGAGGAGTAATGTTGATGTTGGTCTGTGCTGATGAAGAGAAATGTTCATGTTTGTCTGTGCTGATGAGGAGTAATGTTCATGTTGGTCTGTGCTGATGAGGAGTAATGTTCATGTTGGTCTGTGCTGATGAGGAGTAATGTTCATGTTGGTCTGTGCTGATGGGGAGTAATGTTGATGTTGGTCTGTGCTGACGGGGAGTAATGTTGATGTTGGTCTGTGCTGATGGGGAGTAATGTTGATGTTGGTCTGTGCTGATGGGGAGTAATGTTGATGTTGGTCTGTGCTGATGGGGAGTAATGTTCATGTTGGTCTGTGCTGATGAGGAGTAATGTTCATGTAGGTCTGTGCTGATGAAGAGAAATGTTCATGTTGGTCTGTGCTGATGAGGAGTAATGTTCATGTTGGTCTGTGCTGATGAGGAGTAATGTTCATGTTGGTCTGTGCTGACGGGGAGTAATGTTGATGTTGGTCTGTGCTGACGGGGAGTACTGTTGATGTTGGTCTGTGCTGATGGGGAGTAATGTTGATGTTGGTCTGTGCTGATGGGGAGTAATGTGATGTTGGTCTGTGCTGATGGGGAGTAATGTTCATGTTTTTCTGTGCTGATGGGGAGTAATGTTCATGTTGGTCTGTGCTGATGAAGAGAAATGTTGATGTTGGTCTGTGCTGATGGGGAGTAATGTTCATGTTGGTCTGTGCTGATGAGGAGTAATGTTCATGTTGGTCTGTGCTGATGAGGAGTAATGTTCATGTGGTCTGTGCTGATGGGCGAGTAAACTAGAGTTATTTCTATAGTTTGTCGTGCAATGAGAAAGGGATAAATTAGTTAACCTTTTATTTGCAAAGTTGGTCTGTGCTGATGTAATAATGAGTTAATATGTTCAAATAGTTTGTTTATCTATTTGGCATAAGATAGTTAGGAAGAATTAGTTACATTTGATGTATGGTTAACTAACTGATGGGCTGAAAACTGATGAAAGGAAATGTTTTTATAAAGTTTGAATTAACGATAAATTGATTGTTGATATTCTAAGTTGACTGAATTTTGGAGTAATTGATATTATGTCTATACAGGGTCTTGTATGACTATAAGATTTGGGAGCATAATAGTTTTACCTTTGTATGGATCATGATGTACTGACATATGGGCGAGTATATATGTTAGCACATAAGATTGGTTTAAAACTTTAGTTGCTTAAACATAGAAAACATGAGAAAATAATAT